GCCCCTTATAGCTATTGTTCAGAACAAATGGATAACTAATAATAAGAAGCATGTAAATAAAACCGAGCTGGTTTTGTTTTTTTTTTTTACTCCGACAAAGCTGGGCGATCAGATCGGTTGCATAATAGAAATCGGGAGGGCTGTCTGGCAGGCAGCTTTAAGCAGAGAAGAGCTATCTCAATTTCTCTCACTTAATCTTGGCTTCGCGTCAGAAGCTGTGCAGCAGTGCAGTAGAATGGGAGCACGGCAAAAGCTTCGCCAGTGAAACGGCGTGTGCTCGCTATGTGGCGGTACCTCAGCGATTTCTCGAGCTGGATTACCTATTGATTTTCCTCCTTTCTCGCCTCCCAGGTTTACTCGGCTGGACACTGTGTGTGTTTGGATTTCTCAAGGATTCTCCCCCGACTAACATGGATGTCCCACCATTCCTTGCAGTTGAAGGTTGCTCCTTGGCGCAGTGAATGAAGAACATGCAGGGATTGCTAATAGGTTTGGGAAGCGTAGACTCTCTGCTCTCTCTGTGACCATGCCGTGATCGTGTCTGAGGGCCATCAGTTTACGTATCCTCATTCTCACCCTACCGGGAAACCTGACGGCTTAGAAGGGGGAAGTAAGGCAGCGCGTGTGTGCATAGAAACATCATGAAGATTTCCCATATCGTAACTAATTCAGTCATCAGATGCACGATTAGACTCCTTCTCTGCTTACTGTGGATTGGATATTCTCAAGGAACCACACATGTATTAAGATTTGGTAAGATTTCCCGACACTTTCTTCATTGTGTGTTTAAGCCTGAATGTGATGATATACGTAGGATTGACTCAGAAGGGGATGCTGGGGGAGAGCTGGGACGTGCTACCGGAGTCGGGTAGCGAAGTCCCTCTTTATTTGGCATCCGGAGGGATGAATTGCTGTGTGATTTTTTTTATTTATTTTTTTTTTTTTTTTCCTGTCGCTGCTGCTCATTGTAGCCGTAGTAACGGCACGATGGTGATGATAATTATAATAACAATAGAAAAAAGACTGGCAAACGCGGTTGCCTAAGGCTCTGCGCAGCTTGCGTGGCTTCCTCGTAATTGTTTCCATTCTTTTGCTTTATTGTTTCCACAGTAGGGGAAAGCATGGCTAATACGGTGCTTGATCAGTAAAAAACCTGTCAAGTAGTTGTTAAGTTTCGGCCGCCCGTCTCTGATCCCCCCCGAGCCGATCCCGTGCGGGCGTAACGCTGTGATTTGAGACCTTTGAGCTGATTCCCCTTGAAGTATCTGTCTGTTTGCTTGACACTTGAGTGGCGTTTAGGGTTAGAGAAGAGATGATTTATGTCTTGAGCAGTGCCCCGGGAAGAGCTTTTGCGGTACCTTTCAGAAGAACAGCTTTTCTATGCGAGGAAAGTTGTAGGAGTTCCTCCCTCTCCCGGGGAGAAAAAAAAAAAAAAGAAAAAAAAAAAAAAATCAGATTAGAATGACATTTCAGGAACAGAGAAGTTTCACGGTTTAAAGGCTATCCCAGCTGAACCAGGGCACTAACCTTAAGAGCTCTGCTCTAAGAGCGTGCGTGTCCGTGTGTCTAAGAAAGCAAGTGAGGGAACAAATTCCAGCCGCTGCATCTCCTAAGGAAGTTTTGCAGTGAGAAAGGGCAGGACGGAAAGTTCTGAAAGCGGGTCCGAAGTGGTCTGTGCGGCCGGGGATGTCCTTCGGTGCTAGTCCGGGGCGAGCTACGATGGGAGCCCCGCATCAGCCTCCTCCTGGTCCGGATACCGCGGGAGAGCCGCCGTGGGGGGAGGCCAGGAAGGGACAGGCTGAAAAATTCTCCCCCATGCAAGAGGCATCCTCTGTGCCTGCCGACAGCACGGGTGGAGGGAGGAAGAGCGGGTCTCCCGCATTCACGCTGTCCCTGATAAACTGTGGCAGCCCTGCATCCATTTCTGTGGGGCAGAGAAATCTCTTGCCTTTGCCTGGGAATAATGCCTTGGTTTGTATCTATTTTAGTTTAAATCAGCACCCCCGCACAGACTTTTATATGGAGGGGAAGGTGAGTAATGATTAAAAAGTCACCAGGCTGTTACCAATCTCCTGTGCTGAATTCCTAGCAGCACTTTTTTCTGCTTCCATCTGGTCTAAAGGTGGTGCTTAAGGCACGTTGCTCTTAGCAACCGTCCTCTGGAATGTCTGTTTCTTTGGACATGGCTAAAGGGGCCCGTATATCATTGTGGGGTCTATTTTGCAATCAGTCTGATCCATAATCATGGCCGTGAATTTAGTGCTGGGATGCCTGTAATCTGGCACTGGCCGGCTGTCTGTCTCTCCACGGGCGCTGAGAGTCTGTCTCTAGTAGGATCCTGAGTTACTTTCAGGTACAGCTACGTAAACAAACGTCTTCCTGGTCACAGCACTAGCAGGAGGTGGACTTTCCTTCTTTAGAAAGGCATTCCCTCTGAATTGTTAGTCCAGTGTACCTCTAGAGACAGCCCTAGAGAGCAGCGGTTTGGCGAGTGTTAGAGCAATAAATAGTTCCGAGGCTGAAAGGGGATGCGGCGGGTCTCTGTTACCCAGTGACATGGTGGTGCATGAGTATGTTTCACTGAGCTAACTTCCCTTCCCAGCTGCATCCTGGTCACACAGCTGGCCAACGAGTTGTGCTCGCTCCACTGTTTGTAGCAGTGAAGTAGAAATCTCTTTCTGCATCTCTGCCTGCTTTTACCTGTCTTTGAAAAAAATTGTCGACAAAACATCACTGATCGTTAGAAATAGGTAGGGAACAGTTGCTAAGTTGTTTTTTTTTTTTTTTGTTGTGTAGAATGTTAAACATGAAAAGAGCAGGAAGACTTTTGCCCTGCTCATCCGGGCCTGCTGCACATCTGTTTTAAAGGAGTCTGGGTTTGACTTAGTTCAGACTAAATCACTCTCTCTTTGACCACGAGAGAACTTCCACGCCTTCCCCAAGGGCTGACATCTCTGTGTAAGGCATAGCAGGCTGGAGGGAGGGAGCAGGGATTGAGCTGTGGAAAAGCTTTTATTATTTCTGAGGGGGAATCCCCCACCGCCTTCTCCGGGTTCCCGTGCTATTGGTCCCTTCGGGATGTCCTTGCGACCAGGAGTACGGGATGCCGTGGAGTCCTTCCCGAGGAGAAGCGAGCTGAGGAGATTCCCTCCAGAAGGCAGCCTGCCAGCCCCCGCTCTTCTTCCTCAGCCAGCAGCGCTATGGCAACAGGGGAGAGCTTAAAGCCTGCCAGAGCTGCAGCCCCCTCATTCCTCCTGTGCAAATTAGCCACCATGGATTCGCATTGTCCTTCCCACGGCTCCTCTCATTGTTGGGACTAGCCAGCATGTCCTTTCTCTCTCTCTCTAAAGCTACCTTATAGCAACCACAGAGGGAAGTCGAACCGCCTGGGTTATCTGTCAGATTCGGGAGGTTATTTCTGTCTGTACCTTACGGAGCAAACACAGAGAGGCCGGTGCGATGACACCGTTCCCACCCCAGCGACACTTGCTTAGGCATCTGGACACCTGCCTGTTGCTGCTGCTGGAGTTTTGGGCAACGTGGTACCCGGGCATCACACCGGGCGCCCTTCCTGAATGGCACATTGCTTCACGGGGCACCAAGCTCCCTCCCTTGCTCCTTCTGAACAGTTTCCCACAAGCCAGACCAGGGAACGCTGAAGGTGAGGTTTGTGTACACGGTACTCGAGGGTGTCAAATGGGAACAGCCCTAAACCACTGACGCGGATAAAAGGATAGGTGCCACCTTGACAAGGGAGAAAAGCAGCAGCCTAGTATTTGTCTCTCCTCCGTGCTAAATGTGATGGAAACCTTTTCCTTATCACTTGGCACCGAACAAAAGCCAAAGCACGTAACCGCTGGCACATCCTTTACGCTGTCGGGGATCACATTTCGCAGCTTTCCGATTCACTGCTCCTGTGTAAACTCAGACCCACGGCAGCGGCTCCCGAGAAACTCCAGGGAACTCGACGGATCCAGAGCCCTACCGATCTGCCCCTCTGCCCACGACGGCTGGGCACGTAGGGCTGCCTTTCTTAGGTCTGCCTTCACTCCTGAAGACATCTCAAGACCTTGTCCCCGAAATGCTGAATTAGTAAGCTATTAAGACCTGTAAAACGCCTGTAATTGCTCACCCGTGCTTTAAGAAACCCACCCCAAGGCGGGTCTTGTCTTGCTCAAGGCAGTAAGAGCCTGGGCTATTTAAACAGCCTTTTCTTTCCCCCACCTACTACTACTATATGGAGTTTGATTGTCAGTGCTTTGAAGTCTGGAGCTCTCTAAAATGCCCTGTTTCATTTAAACTGCTCGTTTCCGGCCTAGTCTCTACTGCTGTGAGCAATTCCTCTTTCCTACAGCAAAGGTGTGAAGAGAGACCTGTGATGGGAAGGTGAAAGAGGTTTGGCCACTGTATTTGCTCTCATTATTCCTGGAAATGTGGTGAAAGACTAAAGATCTTCGCTGCAGGGTGCTCAATTGCCTGATAAGTTTTAACCCACTTTGTGTGATGTTTTATTTTCTTCAGGACATCCAAGAAGGGTAAAGACAAGTAGAGGAATATACCTGTAGTTTTGACTTTTTGGCCCTTTGGAGTTGCCTGACTTGAAGCAGATGAGAGAGGGAGCTGAATGTTTTGTGTTACAATGAACTATAAAGGAAGGGTGTGTGCACACATGTGGCTTCTTCCAGCTTGAAAGCAAGAGAAAGTCAAGAGAGAGATAGGAAAAACTTTTCAAGGGAAAAAGGAGGAGTTTTGAACTCTCACCAGAAGTATTTCTTACTACTGACTATTTTTTTTTTCTAAAATTCCACCTCACCAAGTCCTCATGAAGCCTAGCACTTTCCTGTTGCCCTACATAAAATAATAATCATATCAAATGAAACATTATAAAATCATTTACTCTTTGTGATTTTTCAACTCTTTTGCGGGAACCCCACGAGGGGAATTGCTAGACGCTTGAGTCTTCCTCTGAACATTTAGCATGGGTTTTAGCTGAGCTCCTTTGTCTCAGACTGAGTTTATCTCCATATAATTGTTTTTATGAGCTCGAGTGTGGCAAAACCAGAGAACAGACTGGCTCATTGCATCCACTGCCCGTGGAGGTGACAGTAGGTGTCAAAACACATGGTTCTGGGATTCAGGAGACCACTTTAAAATTGTAGCAATTAAAACCAGTGAAGTCATGGCACAGCAGTGGGAGCTAGCTCTGTACAGATGTGTATGAGACGAGGTCAAGTGAAAAATACCTGCTGGGTAATCGAGTGGAGTTTTCTTATGGGATTTGCATTAACCCTCCTGGATGCGTGCTTTCTTTCCTTTGGATTTTGCGTTGACATCCTTTTCGTGGGAGGAGATCAGGTTTCTGCCTCTATCTGAGAGAAACAAAAGACTGTACATATCTTGTTTGAGTGGGGAAGGCAGCCTGCCTTCAGATCACGAGAGTGATGAAAAGCTGCAAGCCAAACTCCTGTGGCAGCCCTCGGGGGCTCTGTGTCTTGGCAAGTCCAGCATTCAGAGCCAGTGAAAAATTTACTGCCAGCCAAGGAGAAGCTTTCAATATCTGTTAACATCCTCACGAAGAGGAGTTCAAAATCAGTCTTATAAACAACAACAGAAATCTTTGAAAGAAGAGTGAGGTTAAGAGCCTCGGGAAGGCAGCAAGGAGGTGAGAAGCATTGTTATTGACTGGTCTAGATTAAACAGCACAGAGAAAGATTTCAATTTGATAGCGTCACAACCCTTCCTGTTTTTCTTTGCTGCTTCTGCTGACAATTTTGTAAGGTAATTAAATTGGCTGATTGAAGTCACAGTGGTCATGGGGCGATAAAGACCGTTTGGATTTAATGGAATTTAGAAACAACGGTGCACTGCACACAACTCTTACAGAACGAGAATTTTAATGACTCATTCAGGGTGCTGACTACATAGAATGTCCTGGATGAGTTTAATTGAAAGGGCAAAGCTGATTAGCTGTATACAGTCTTTATTGCACTAGATAGGGGAATTAGACTTATCCTTTTAAAAGACTCATTATTGCATTATCAAGATTTAATGTAGGTTAAGAAAGCTTTCATCCGTGTGGGCTTTCTGGAATATCCCCAGATCCTTTCACTCAGTGTTTGGAACACCAATAGTCCCATAAAATGATTTTCACACAATTGCCTGATAGCTTGTATTCTTACTGACTGCTTATTCTTACTGATAACTTGCTTCTTACTGACTGCTACTTGTCCTTTGAAGAGGTGCAATGTTCAAGTAATACCACCAGTTTAATTGTGGTTGCTGAAAGAAATTATTTCTGCCACCAGAGATAAGAAACTAGAGAAAAGGAGACTTTTCTCAAACTCAAATATTAGAGTTAAATTTTATTAGTTTAGTTTTGGGTTTTTTCCCATTTATTTATGTATTTATTTTATACCAGAGAAAATCCCCTCAATTTAGGAAAAAAAACCAAACCAAACATTTTGTACTCATTGTAAATAAAGTAGATCTTTGTCCTCTACTTAATGTGTTTACACTTGTCTGCTTCTGAGTTTTAACCTTCATCCTCTTTAATCTCTTTCCGAGGAACAATTACTAGAAGGTATGTCAATAATGCAAAAGAGAAAATAGAGGGTGCCTTATTTCCATACTCCCCAATCTGCAAGGCAAATTAATTTTTCCTGAATAAGCCTTTTATAGTGTTATGCTGTAATGTATGTTGGAAGATTAGATTAAACAGCATGATAACATAATGACATAATGTCATTATGCTGTCACATCTGAATTGGAATATGGAGAATCAAAGATCACTGTCATATTAATACTTAAAATTTTGTGCATGTCCCGTGCCATCCATGCTGTGCTCCCCCCTTTCTTCTTCTCACTCCCACCCCATTTCCCACCTGAGTCCTTCTTTCCTTCATTATACAATAATAACTGTCTTGGGCACCTTCAATTTAAGCAGCCAAAGCTCTCAGTAATGCAAAGAATACAGAATAGACATGTGATGATCATTATTCCAATACTGGAGCTCAGCCAGATTTGGATAAAACAGG